GCAGTGCGAGATGGGCAAATCAAGGATTGGGCTGCTAAAGGGAGAAAGGCTAACCGATCTAGCATGAGCCGCTGAAACTGCAGCCGATCCAAATTTCACAAAACATACGCTTGCATATTTATGTATGTTTAAACATATGTGTTTACGTGTAAATAAAAAAAATGTGAATACTGATGTAAATAGATATAAATGTATGTATGTATATGTACATATATATATATATATATTGGAACAAATTTGTTTATATTTCCACATGTTGGTGTATATATATATACATATCTACATTGATCAGTATTAACATAATATAAACAATTATTGCGTTCTTCAGCTCAATAGTTCGGTTGGTTCTGAAAAGATTGTTTGTTCGTGCTTTGCAATGTTCAAATTGGTTTATTTCATGCTTGACCACTTATAGGGGAAATTGTTAAGTTTATCTTGTATATTTGACATGTTTATAGGATAGTCTTGGTTTATCATGTTACGGTCTACCCCTACTACTACAAACCAACCCACCGTTCAAATAATTTTCAAATATCAAAGGGGGACAAAGCTGGAAACGCCATTTTTGATTATATATCATATTATATTAAGGGTTTTTCTTTGCATTCGGGTTCCTCCTCAAACTGGGTTGCCAACATGGACCTGGGTTGCCAACATGGACCCCACATAGCCTCAACATGGCCCAAACTGGCATGTTCATCTGGGCTGCAGCATGAACACCCAGATGAACACCCCATTTTGGCCCAACATGACCCCCAACATAGACAACATAGGCCCAAAACAAACCCCAACCGAACCGATGTTTGGTTGGGGTTAATTTTTGACCGCATTAAAGCCCCAAATCACCCACCGCAGGCCCAACATGCCTCAACATGGCCCCAACTAGCCCCCAAATGGCCCAAGACAGGCCAAACATAGGCCCAACATAGCCTCCACATGGCCCAACATAGGCCAAACATGTGCGACGCCAACCCAACTTGTTCGCACCAAAAATTCTTTAATTTTAGCACAAACTTTTTGGCTCCAACATAGCCTCGAAATGGCCCAACATAGGCACAAAATGAATCCCAACAGCAGTCAGCCCGAATGGACAGAAAGTTCATCATTATTATATTACATATGATATATGCGTAATGACTGACCTGTTTTTATGATAGTTGAAAAGGTGGTACTGAATGTATAGGCATCGTTGGACAGAATGGTCATCCACCAGTATTCGCTACTGGTACGAATCGAGGCATTCTTGAAACGATCACTACAGGACTACAGGTGAATGGGGTAACCCTAGGACACTCTCTAGCATTCTGCAGGAAACTAGTTGAATAGTTGATACTGCTGGAGACGGGAGGTAAGCCCAACTAACACCCAATGGAATTAGCACAAGTTGAAGATTGTCAAAAAAGGAAGACAAACAAAGCCCCAGTAGCTGCAGACAAATTACACTACCTTTCGTTGCATGATAGTGGGACACTGCCCTAGATGAATGGAGCCCAAAGTTTAAATGAATGGGATGGTTGAAAATTGAAATGCTTTGGAAGGTCTTTTGAACTCCCTTGTCAACGCTTTTTGTGGAGACCCAGCCAGTGAGAAAAAACACACACACTAGATGAAGCTACCAGTAGCGACTGCGCTTGTGGAGTTTTGGCGTCGCTGGACCAACCTAAATCGAGCGTTCTAACAGGGAGCGACCGTCACTCCCTGTTAGAACGCTCACTACCGGTAGCGACTGCACTTGTGGAGTTTTGGAGTCGCTGGACCACCCTAAATCTTGCGTTCTTCTCAGTACAACCCCAGCGAAAACACAAGATGATCCTTGGGTCGATGATTCCGGTGGCACCCTTAGAACACTCACTACCGGTAGCGAGCGTTCTAACAGGGAGCGACCGTCACTCCCTGTTATAGAACACTCACTATACCGGTAGCGAGCGTTCTAGTGGAGTTTTTCCGTCGCTGGGGCACCATCAATCTTGCGTTCTTCTCACTAAGACCCCGGCGAAAACACAAGATCATCCCTGGGTCGATGTTTCCCAACCCTCCCTTAGAACACTCACTACCGGTAGCGAGCGTTGTAACAGGGAGCGACCGTCACTCCCTGTTAGAACACTATTTATCTTAATAAGGGCTCCACATTGACAGAATTCCCAATTCACTACCGGTAGTGAGCGTTCTAAGGGCTCCACATTGACAGAATTCCCAATTCACTACCGGTAGCGAGCGTTCTAAGGGCTCCCCATTGACAAAATTCCCAATTCACTACCGGTAGCGAGCGTTCTAAGGGTTCCCAATTCACGACCGGTAGCGAGCGTTCTAAGAGTTCCCAATTCACTACCGCTAGCGAGCGCTCTAAGCGTTCCCAATTCACTACCGGTAGCGAGCGTTCTATAAGGGTTCCCAATTCACTATCGGTAGCGAGCGTTCTAAGAGTTCCCAATTCACGACCGGTAGCGAGCGTTCTAAGGGTTTCCATTCACTACCGGCAGCGAGCGTTCTAAGGATTCTCAATTCACTATCGGTAGCGCGTGTTTTAAGGGACCCAATTCACTACCGCTAGCGAGCGTTCTAAGATGTTCTAAGGGTGCCCAATTCGGACCAGTAGTGAATGTTGGTGGAGTAACCGTGGTGTCCAAAGATGCAAATATACAGTACCACCTTTTCAACTATCATAAAAGCAGGACAGATGAATATATATATATATGAATATTATTGTATCGTGCAAAAAATGTTCTGTTATATTTTGTTATATTTCATTTTGAATTATTTTATATGCATTATAGTTTTGAAAATATTTTATTTTGCTAGATTTGTTTAAATTAAGGTGCATAAATAAATATAATTCTTTAGTTTTGTTCTTTTTTGTTTTTTTAATTACATGACATTACATATTATGTTAAACTGTATATTCTGTATTATTATATAATATTAATTTGTTTCATTATGTATTTCGTATTTTCTATTTTATGAGACTTTAAAAATATACTATATTATATTGTGTGATGTTATAATATAAAATACTACTATCTTATATTAACTTATATTATATTGTATTATGTTATATATAGTCATATGTACTTTTGCATGATCATGTCCGCGGAGCCTCCCAGAAACTACAAGAAACCAATCTATGATTAACAACATAAACAAAAAACGAAAGCTAGCGGGGTAGGAGAAAGAAGGAAGGGAAGACGTAGCTTCAAACCCTAAGTGAGGATGCTGACCCTCTACCAGCCGGAAATCTCCTCTCGGGAAGGCTCGGGGGGGACCAAGGGGGGATCGAACCTGATGCCGATGATGACGATGATGATGAGGATTGTGATGATGATGATGATGATGATGATCACGATGACGAGAACGATGCCAATGACCATGACGATGACGAAACCGATGACGATGACAATGACGATGACGATGATGATGACGATGATGCTGATGATGGTGATGGTGGGTGAAAAATCACGTGATGTCCTTGAGCAGCACCCGGAATACTTGCTAAAGCAAGAAGACTCCAGCTAGTTGACGCTAGCTTTCGTGACTTGACTTGAAACCTTTCAAAACATGATAAATATACAAACTTATTTTAATGATAATGTGGTTTTTTTGCATCCCAAAAATACTTTATAGTTTGCTTTCTACTCTACCTTTTACATGTACTCTGTAATTTACTTTGTAGCTAAAATTACTTTGAAACGTACCTGTTTTTATCTTACTTCCCAAATTTACCTAAATTTTGTCCAAACCAATTTTACTTGAAAAGCAGGGTACTGCTGCTTCAAATCCACTCAACATTTAAACGCTTAAAGGGGGAAAATGTAGAAACCTTAAACGCCGCCCAGTTTGAAGTAAGTGCCACGCCTGACCCCACAACAGTGACGCCAAGGTATGTCACGTCAACAAGTGCCACGCCTGCCACACAAGAGCGACGTCGATGCCACCACACCAGAGCCAGCCCAGTGCCGTAAGTGCCACACCTGCCACACAAAACAGCGCGGCGCCGCACAACAAAGCGCGCCACCAGCCAGCCCAGTGCCTCCATGTGACCAAGTACCATCCCTGCCACACAAAATAGCGGCGGCACCCAAGAGCGAAGTGCTACGCCTGCCACACCAAAGTGACATCCATGTCATCAAGTGCCATGCTACTTGCCACAAAACAGGACGACACAAAGTGAACATCCATGTCACCAACTGCCACACTTGCTCACAACTGATGTCCATGTCACCAAGCGCCACGCCTGCCACACAAAACAGCGCAGCGCCCCAGCAAACAAGTGAGCCACCAGCACAGTGCCATAAGTGCCACGCGTCGCGTGCCATACAAAAGTGACTTCCATGTCATCAGGTGCCACACCTGGCGCAGCAGCGACCAAGCGCGCCACCAGGGGCAGCCCAGTGCCGTAAGTACCCCACCTGCCACACAAAGTGAGCATCTATGTCAACAAAGGCCACGCCTGTCACCAGATGTGAGACAAAGTTGTGTGTGTGTGTGTGTGAAGAAAGAGTTGTTGTGTGTGACAATGTTGTGACTTGCGTGCGTGCGTGCGTGCGTGTGTGGCTGGGTGGGTGTGTTTGAAAGAGTTATATGTGACAATGTTGTATGTGAAAGAGTTGTGTGTGTGTGTGACAATGTGTGAAAAGTGCGTGTGTGTGTGTGACAAAGTTGCGTGTGAAAGAGTTGTTGTGTGTGACTGAGCTGTGTGTGTGTGACAATGTTGTGAGTTGTGCGTGTGAAGAAAGAGCTGTGAAGAGTAGGAGAAGGAGAAGCACACGGAGGAGCGGCAATGATGTGCACCCCCGTCCGATGATTTGCAAGAACCACGCAATGATGTGAGGAATTATGGAAAGGACATCTTCCGAATGGCAAGTTGTTCTTCATGGTTGGGAAATGTATACTTAATAGAGGTGTTCATAGTGCATATTTCATATTTCTGATGTCCACCGATATTTCCACCCTGTCATCCCGCAAGTTGATATATCGTGACCCTCCGGAGACCACATCCGAGAATCGTATCGATTCCTGCACGAAGTGCTGCCTCAGTGGGAAAGCCGCTCCGAAAAAATCTTGAAATCTTCATGTTTTCCCCACTTGCCAGCGAAGGTCTCTAGACTCTAGATTTATCAGGGTCCTTCTCCTCTTTCTCCTCAACCGCGACTCCAGATCTCAGTGGGCACTGCCGGACCTCAACCGCGAGCTCCAGATCTCAGTGGGCACTTCAGGACCTCAACCGCGAGCTCCAGACGCGAGATCCAGATCTCAGCCAGACGCCAGAGAAAATGTCAGATAAAACGCCAGAAAGAATGTCAGAATGTCAAAGTACATGCCAAAAAGAATATCAGACAAAATGCCAAAATAAATATGCCATATATTGTTCCAGACGGTATGTCAGAAACTATGTCAGAATAGTGTTTCAGGATCACTCGAAGAAAGTACTTTAGCTTCAAACATGTTCAGTTGAGAAGATACGTCAGTTAAATTCGGAGAAGATCTGGAAAACGTGGCCAGGCAAGTCAAGAGAATCCAGAAATGCGGTCCAGCATTCTCCAGGCCTATTGGATCCGGCCAAACCCAGCATTTTCAGCGCTAAGAAAATCATTCAGGACAATTGCGCATCCAGGAAATCATTGTGGGGATAGCATAGGTTCACTTACTTTCTGCCCTGTTTCATGGAGCATGCAGGTCAAAGAAAGAATTGCTGACAATCAAGCACAACCCTCCCGGAATCTCTTGAACCACCAACGATCTTGGTTTCCACACGTGTTTCTTTGCCTTCGCATTTCTCCAGGGACGGTTTCACGCCCGGATGTCTCAGTTGTCCTTCAAAAAGCTTGTCGCGTGGCACTTGACAAAAGGGTTGCAGCACTGCAGCACTGACCTTTCTTTACACCAAATGTCTTTAGATGAAGGGGATCCCAGAAAAATAATTCTCAAAAAAATGGGGTTCTGGCAAAAGACTCCAAACAGTGTTGAGGTAGAAATTCGAAGTCTGGTTCTGGGAAAGTGCTCAAAATCACTGACCAATTTCTTTAAAATATGCAATATTCAATAGATGCGCTTGCATTTTGCCGGCTCACATAGAGTTGTCCAAATGACCCTTTGGCTTTTTTCCCAGTCAACTTTCAACCTTTGACTCCAACAGATTACGCTTTGAATAGTCCTTTCGCCATCACGGCTGTGTTCAAATGCAACCTGGAAAAAGAATAGGCGCCTCATTTTGAGACATCCTTTTATGCACATGGCAAACTCATTGAATATTGTTCTTGGCAGTTGTCATTTTTCAGTCTACATGTGAGCACGCTCTGGAATGCACCAAATCATTCACAAAGTGGCATAATCAAAATATGATTTCTGTTTTGATGCTGGTAGTAGCTTCCACCAAGTACCAAACATGCTTACGTCTGAAAGTTCACCAGCTTTCTTTCTCGTTTTCGTATACAGGTGCGCGCGCTCTGGAATGCACCCGAAAAAAACTGCTCAACAGGAGACTACGTTTTAACCACGACTTAAACATTGATTTCCAACCACGGCAAGTTTTTTGAGTCTAATCATGACAAATATCCAAATCCAAACCACGACGGTTGGCTCTACAAATGCACAACTGTGTACGATTATGACTTATGATGTTTTTTTAACCATCTGGTTTGATTCTACTGTTTGCAAAGTCATAGGAGCCACCCTCTCTTAGTCAGTCCACCGAAAGTCCATAGTGATCAATCCAAAACATCGTGTATGCATATCAAATGGCATCATCCGCACATGCACGCTGAGATAATGCAGCAAACTCTTGACACTTTGCACCATTGATTCTCAGCTACAGTATGCACTCGAAGACGTGTCTTCGCCAGAACCGTTTAAACTAAAGCATAGCTCGTTCAGCTAGATCAGGAGCTTTGGAGTTTGAAGCCAACTCGTCTTCGCCTTTACCGCGTCACAGGTTTAAAAAAAAATGTTGATTGTTGATGGTTTTAAGGTGGCTTTCTCAACGATTTCAGTGACTTTCACAGCTCCTTCGGGGACCTTCTGACCATAAGCCCTTCCTTAGCGTTTCAAAGTTTTCGGGCACTTTCTCGTCATTTTCGGGGACTTTCTTAGTCAGCATTTTCGACTTTTGAACGTGTTCAAAGACTTTGTCAACGTGTTCGGGGACTTTCTCTGGGTTTTCTTGGGTTTGTTCAGCAACTGCGGCGACTTTCTCAAAGTTTTCACGCGTTTTCTCCGCGCTTTCGATTTTTCAGCGTTTTCGGAAATTTTCTCCGCGTTTTCGGGTGCAATCTCAACGTTCAGTCAAGACTGCGTTACGTAATTAGAAAGCTATATACGGTTAGCACTGTTAATGATTCAAGTACGCTATTAGTGAAAAAACTTGTTGTGCAGGGAACCTTGTGCCGAGTAAAGCCGAGTATGCAAAATAGGCTTGTGAAGGAGTTGTGTGTGTGTGTGATCATGTTGTGTGTGTGTGTGAAAAGGGTTGCGCGTGTGTGTGTGTGTGTGCCTAAACCCTTCTTACACAGGGCGTGGTATGAATATGCAGGGGGATGGAGAGGACATATGAGGCTCCATCCAACGAAGCTCCTCATATGATCCTAGGATATCACCAGGGACGCTTGGTGACGTACCTGCGCCATTTTTTCCTGCATTCGGGTAGTTGAACTGTTGACTACCGATGTACTTTGATTGCAAGTCTACATTTCAGTCGATGAACTGTTGATTTCACATCTTTATGATGGCTGTTGTTACCAACATTGTAACTCACAGGGGCTCTCCATCCCAACTATTTGGATTTCACCTCGACCTCAACCGTTTGGATTTACCTTCGGCCTCTACCATGTGGATTTATTTTCAGATTCCAGGGACGTTTCGGCCACAGCATTTTGGATTCAACCTCAGGGCTCACAACCAGACCAGTGTGTGTGTGTGTGTCTGACAAGGTTGTGTCTGAAGGAGTTGTGTGTGACAAGGTTGTGTGTGGAGAATGGGCGGCGGAGGCGGGTGAAGGAGGAGAAGTAGCGGACGGGAGTGCACAACAGAAACAAGAACCACACACAAAGATGGAGGGACAACATATAGTATATTATATACAGTAATAATTATATCTACTACACCATCCGTGATATAGTATAATATATGTTCCTTGTTTTTGCAATAGTGTTGCTCCACTGCCGTGATATGCATTTCCATGTCGTGGTGTGGCCCAACGCTTAAAAAAACAAAAAATAAAACTAACACAATTCTATTTGACTGCTGGTGGCTAGTAGATGTCCACTACAATAATATGCCTCTGAGAGTTCACAGGATTTGGACCTTAACATGTGGCCTTCGGGAGTGCATGAAAGTGCGGTGCCTGCGCTGAATGTGCTGAATAAACACTCCGAGTTGATTGTGTTCCCAGTACCCACGCAGCGCGCAAACATATAGCAACTGTAAATTTTCAGTGGGGGTGATACTTTCGCAACCTGACTCAAACTGAAGGAGCAGCCCTCAGGTCCTGCTCCCACGGTTCGCATTTTCTGCATTTTCTGCATTCGACCTAAGCCCAGGCCGCTTGAAAATGATGTTAAGTCATTCGTTCCATTGCCCAGCTGCAAGCACAATCCGCCAGGTGTATTTTCAGGCTTCAGCAAGGGTTACAAAGGTAATCCCAAATAGACTGAGAAAAGCCTAAATAAAATCCGTTAAGCAACGCAGCTCTAGCTACCTTTTGCTACAGCTGCATGTCAGCCCTATAAATACATGGTGTTTTCCCTGGGGTGCAATTACACCCCCCCAGGTGAGCCGGAACGGCAAGACTGCCCATTTACCAGGGCGAGACCATTACGGTCTGCCTTGCCGACATGGCTCAAATTGCATCCTGAGGTAAACACCCGAATTTGCGGCTTTATACAAAAACAATCGTCGATGCAAGGTGTGCTGAACTTATCCCTCTTCCCATTCGACACGTCCATGCCTGATCACCTTTTGGTACCAACGACCGTGCCACTTCTGCCACTCACCAGTGTAACGTCGATCTTGACGGGAAGACTGAGGGCGGTCGAGCCACACACACACACCTGCAGACGTATAGATGATGAAGCTGCTTCAACCTTCGGTGATGTTCGGGCAACTGGGTTAGCAGTGCCTTTCTTTGCAGGACCCTGGCCATACGCAGAAGTCTGTTTGGCCTTTCGCTTGGCCTCGCTCTTCTCTTTTGCACGATCTGACTGCTGCTTCTTTTCAAGCGCATTGGCTTTGTATGAATCCAGGTTGGTGTCCTTGATGTACCGAAGATGCCGCTGAGCGTCATAGACTGCCACCTGATCGATCCCTGTGTTTGACATCAGCAGGTTGTAGTGAGGATTTCTGTTGAGATAGTCGATGCATTCCTCCTCAGAATAGATTTCTGTTCTATACATTTACAACCAGGGCTGATCAATGTATCGGAATCTGTCAGGGAGGTCAAGCCGGCTGCCAAGGTCCAGGTAAACAAGCCGCATTGCATTGTGTTCGACTTGCGAAGCCTCTGAGGCACCCATCTTCACCTGAGCTCTCGTGCGGTCGGGCTTCGGGAGGTGCACGAACGAAAGAGGTCGTAACGCTCACAATCGTATTCATTCTCTCCCTCAGCCAGCAAGCTTTCCGCAAATTTGGCATCTTTTGTAAACCTGTCCAGAACCGAAGTGAAGCCCATTCCATTCGTTCTTTCCACACGACCTTTTGCCCGCTTGATGAGGTCGGCCTCGGGCTTGAACTTCCCCGAGCCTGATCTCCCAACAAACCAAGGGTCTCAAGCTGATTCCTGGTGATGGTCTGGAAGTACTCCCCTTTGAAGTCGTAGAAGAGCCCAAGCTTGTGCAAGGCTGCCTTGCGGCGCTCTGCAATGGCAGTCCTTTCAGCTTTGGGGATTCCCTCCAACATCAGAATCAGGCCACATACATCGCATTCGAGTTGCCCTTTGAAGGTCTTGGCACAGCATCTTTTGCATTCACTGGCCTCGATCTTCACTGGCTCCGGCTTCTGCACCTGGTCATCGCTTTTAGGGCGAGACTTCGTCACCAAAGATTTTGACTTTGCTGTCGACTTGGGCAAGGATGCGCTCGAAGGTGGACTTGCAGGCCCCGCCTGATCTGCTTTGGCAGGAGGCGCTTTTGAGGCCGGCTCCAAGAACGCTGCTGAGGAGGCAACTGGCACTGGTTTGGGCTCGCTTGTTATGGCGGCCTTCTTTTGGGCTGGTTGCTCTTCTGCAGATAGTTCGACAGGCTTTGCAATTGCTTTGGGGACGTCAGGTGCTGGCGGCTTCGGAGCTTCGCCCTTTGGGGGCGGCGGCAAAATTCGATTGCTTGCATATCCAGGCCACTTCATCAAAGCCGGTGGCGGGGGTTTGACTTTTCCCGGAAACTTCTGCTCAGCGGGCATGCCAGTTAAGGCAGCCGAAGAGCTCGGTTCAGATCGGCCAGAAGATTTTGCTTCGTGTGCCTCAACCTGTTCCTGAACTCCGGCTTGTGCACCACTTGCAACCGCTCATTGAACAGTCTCCCTGTGCCTTCTGTACAGGTTCACCTTTTTCTCGGTGTCGTCAACAGATACCACGAATTGTGCTGGCACAACATCTGTCGTCAAAATCCCCTCCGATGCCGTTTTGATGAAAACTACACCACTGCGAACAGCTTCCTGCATTGCGACCCTGGTTTCGACTGGGCGCTCTGCTCTGAGTCCGGACAATTCCGGACACGTAATTGCCTTCTTCGACACGAGCCTCGCTAAAATAGCTATGAGCTCGGCCGGAAGATACTCGTTCCCCACTCCAGGAATGAAACCGATGTCCAAGATGCCCTTCCAGTTTCCACGTGTTGTTCGATGGTAAACTACACCAGGGGTATCTTCAGGGGTGACAATGGTTTTCCCTGTGGCCGCTACCTTTGCCAACGCTACTGCACCAGAATTTGCATAGATCAGTGTGGCATTGAAGGTGTCTGAGGCTGCAGCTGTCGAAATGGCACGTTTTGTGTGCCCTTGCACTGCACGGATCCTGAAAGGCCAATAGGCTAACGGGTTGCCATCTGATGTCCAGCAACGCATTGAAACTCAAACCTGCACTTGTTGTCACGATACAACATGGCAATGAACTCTTCGACAGTGGGGGTCTTCTTGGGGGGAGGATGCGATTGTACAGCCGGAAGAAATCGTCCAAGTCCATCCACATCTCGTCATTGAAACAAGACGTGTCCTGTCCAGGCTGTCCCCTTGTCACTGCATTCACCTTGGTGCAGTGATCATACAGAATCGCAAACTTTCTGCACCGCCCATTTTCCAACAAGTCTTTGTGATCAATTCGAAGGGACGTCCATCAACAGTAACATGTTCCACCACCTTGCCATTGATATCTACGTCAAGTATGTACCTGTACTTCTCCACATGACCGCGGCAGTTCTTTGGGCACACTGTTCCTGGAAGATCATTTTCAGCAAGGGGCTCGCCTTCTACGGCGGCCTGCGGTGGGTCGGTTCCTGTTGGGCTGGGGCAGGTGCAGCTGGCGGCGGAGTTGGGTGATTTGCCTTTGCTCTCCCAAATGAAGGCCCCTCATACTCATTCTCGTCGAGGGCTGCCCATGGATCCTCATCATCATCGACTTGGCCGAGGTCCGTGGGCCTGTCCCTCAACTCTTCAGCTGTGAGGGATTCCGGAAGACTCATCGAAGGTGTCGGTTTGTTGACCTTTTCATTCGAGAGGGTGAGCAGCTCGACAAAGGCAACTGGCAGAGCTTCCAATTTTGGTGGTCGATCCCTCATCGTGGCCACGCCCTCAGGGCGTCTTCGCTTCATCTGGGCTTGGTTGTATTGGCCACTCACAATGTAACTGATGTGAAGCATATGCATGACAGACATGAAATACCCCAGCATCTCAGAGCGATTCTCTTCAGTTTCAAAGGCACGGAAATAGTCACGAAGTTCCAAGCGGGCAGGCAATTTGTCGTTTGCAATCCTCCATCTCAACCTGTCAGTTTGTGGGAGGACTTCTTGAACAGGTCCATGAAAGTAGTGAAAATCATGCTGAGGCCGTAAGATGGCCGGGCTCGCTAACTAAAGCGGCCTGGTCAACCCCAAGTTCCAGCAACTGCTTGTTCCACCACTCGACATTGCCCTTCACCCTTGTCATGATTTCTTCCCAGTCGCTCTTCAGATCCTTATGGTCCCAAATCGGGAGTGGTTCAACACCATACTCCCCGCAGATTTCGTTGCCGGACCAAACTATCAGAGAAATCACTCGAATCTGAGACCCGTAGTTGGAGAACTTGTGGAGCAACTCCTTGATCATGCTGATGTTCGCCTTGCACAAGGCCTGGAGGTCTTCCCACAAAGCATGTCGCGCCCAATCTCCAGAATCATATCTGCCTTGCGAGCAGCAAAATCATCCTTCAGGGTGTACTTCTTCAAAGTCTTACCCTTACCGGTGATTAAGGCCAGTGCCGAGTCCGAGGTGATGACATAGATCGGGCACGACGTCTACCTCCGGCCTTGAGGTTCCAGGCACATACTCCGTAGGCAGTGGCAAATCCCAAAGTGCTTCCTGCTCCAATTCAGACAGCAGCATCAGCTCTTTGGCCCATGGAACCCCCGACAAGGCGTCTGTCGTGAGCGGTAGAACACTGCATCAAGCTCGCGGCGATCTCTAAGTCATCCTTTCTGCAACATGTTCCCAGTAGAGCAGATAGTCGCAGCAGCAAGGATGGTTTGAAAGAAATCCTCCCATCCTGCGTGCTTATCCTCCTGGACATCAAGGCACTTCCGAAAAGCAAGCCATTCCGTCATATTGCTTTGCTGGGGCACGCTTCTCTAAACCGGCCGACTTGAGAACTCGCGCATAGATTTTGTCAGAAATCGACTTTGACTTGTCCGATGATGAGCGGCTCATGGCGGGGACAGCTATAGACTCTAGACTCTTCCTTTCTTGGGCGGTTTGTGCCGGGCTAGCTCTGGATCGAAAGCAACAATGGATGAAATCAGTGAAAGAAAATGTGTAGTTCTCTGCAAGTTTAAGTGCAGTTCCCCGGCTTTGACCATGGGTATGTGAACCATCACAAGTGTATTTCAAAAGACTCGATAATTCTTCCATGTTCGTAGCGATCATCCGACCCTTTTTCATTGGGTTCCCCTCCAACTCAGTGACCCCAAACTGGCAACCGTGGAATGGGTATTGCTTCAAGTTGTGTTTCTTGAGAAATGATTGAACCATGGACCACTTCTAATACTTGCAATTCTTTGAGAGTTCGAACGCAATTGAAAAGCGTGGTCCATCGATCTATTGTTTCATTCACGGCACACGACCTTGCGCAAAGGATCCTATCTGCAGCATGTTCTGATGCCATGTAATAGGTAGATGCCATCTCAAATTGTGGATGTATGCGTTGAAGCACACCTGATGTGCAGTGAGAGTGCCCCAAATCCTCCACTTACCGGTTCCACAAAGAATACATCGTCGAAATGGTAACCGCTGAGTGAACCCCTATTAAATCATATTAAATCCCCATGAATTGGGATTAATTGAGATTGATTTGAGAGGATATCCCCTTCAAATCCCCATTATTATAGGTCCAAAAAGCGCTAAACCGTGTTCGGTTTCTTTAGTATTTACACCAACCACTTGTTGTGTTGCACATCCACTTGCTGCTTCAGCCCAAGTACAAGTGGACCCTTGACTGCTGCTAGGCTTCCCGCTCCCCCAGTCATAAATCCCTGGTTCTCGTAGTTAACCAACTGAAACCCATCAACTCCTGGTACCACATTGCATCTTATTACCAAAATCTATTATGTATATATATATATACCCATATCCTCCATGTATGGAATATTTACCAACATTTACCCCATAAATGACCCAAATGTAAGTAAATATACGCGCAACCCCCCCAGTTCGCCCACACAACTTCTTAGGGATTTTGAAGGAATATAAATTCCGACCCCCGCTAAAACTTAACAATTGGGAAGATCAACAAGGGTATTAGGAATATAAATTCCCACCCCCGTTAAACTTTACATTCAATTGGGAAGATCAACAAAGGTAGTAGGGAATATTACAGTCCCACCCCCGTTAAACTTCTACATTCATTGAAGATCTTCAATGAGGGTTTAGTTTTCCCACCCCTGTCAAACTTCAACGTTCATTGAAGATCTTCAATAAGGGTTTAGTTTTCCCACCCCGTTAAACTTCTACATTCATCGAAGATCTTCAATAAGGGTTTGATGATGATGATGATGGTGATGATTCTGATGATGATGATGATGATGATGATGTTGTTGTTGTTGTAACATTCAACGCACAGGTAGCTAAGCTGTGCGTTGCAAGAAGATGGGAGCCATGATCATGGACATGTGCATTTTGTCCTACAAAACGCAGTGTTTTTTGATGTTCGGACACGTCGTCGGCGTCGGCGCGGGCAAACTGAGGGCTTTTACCATAAATATACCATACATGGAGCATATGGGATATATATCATGTATATAATATATATATATGACAATATATTATATGTACGTATATGTGACACACCCCCAACCAGTTCTTATCTCGGTTTGTAGAGGGTATCCAAGACTATAGTTACTATACATCCATGTTTAGATGATTTTCCCAGCTATAAACTTCAACTTAGTTCGGTAATTTTACATACCTCCACTTAATCTTGCTGATGTTAAATGTAGGGAATGGGGGAATGGGATGATTGTTGATATAGTTGTGGATTGGATCATGCCCCCATTCTCTACGTTTAGCACCAGAATGCTTCACAAAACCATAGAGACTTCACTTATATTCCCCGAACAGTTTACCAAATTATATATAAGTAAATTCCCTGGTCAATTTCCACCTACAAATATGATCTCTGTCCTTCCAATTCTTCCAATTCTCTGTCCTTCCAGGTATATAAAAGGAGGTCAGTCAACTAGCCCATAGGAAATATCATGACATATATAGTGCTATCATTCTGAAAATTGCTGATCCCAGTGCTATCTGAACCCCCCAACCAATTCTTCTCTCTCTGTATACCCTCTGGTAACTTAGCATATAGCTATTGAAAATGGACCATTTATAGATCATTTACTATAGCTATGTGAAGTCACCAGCTACCATTTATAGATCATTTACTATAGCTATTTATGGATCGTTTACCTATTAAAACTGGTGATTTTCGCTATCCAAAAGCGACCAACCCCCGCGCCTCAGGCAGTTCTGCCACCACGCTGGCATCAATCTCCGCAGCCTGGGGTCAAGGGTAAGATGGGGGGGCCATGGCCATAGTCCAAGCGAAAATATGGGAACGTTTGAGGTTTTAAAGCTCGATTCAACTTCGATTCTATGCGCAAACATTGTTTTGTTTTTTTTTGCGGATTCAATGGTGGCTTGAATGGGGTTTTGGTGAGGATTACATGATTTTCAAGCAATAAAGACGGTGATGTTGCGGAAATTTGCTGTTCTCACGATGGTCTAATAGCGATATGAATGAATCAAAGTCCGGATTTTAACCTTCAAATTAGCTGATATAGCGGGTGATAAAGAAGATAAAGATTGGAATTTGACGGATCTGGTGGGATATCACGGGACCTTGAACCAACCAATTGTGGTACCCTCTGGTAAACTAACAGTTTGCTATTGAAAAATGGCCATAGAAATAGTGGATTTACCCATTAATAGCATGGTGTTTTTCCATAGTTATGTAAACGTTTACCAGAGGGTATATAGTCAACCATTGTATGATACGGCAGAATTCTCACCATTTCAGGTGAAGCCGTGTTGGTTTATGGAAATCAGAGGTCAACGAGTCACCTTCACGGGGGGGTCTGTTGCTTAGCAAACATTGGATCGGACACAGCACCAGTCACAACGTTTCTTGATACCAAACTACTACTGACCGGATTATGACTGGTGGGGAATAGTACATACAACATAAAACAATATAAAACATGGGAATAGTTTTTACTTTTTCGTTTAGTTAGAAAGAATTCATAAAACATGAGAATGCCAAGGGCGCCACAACAAAATGCTGAGCTTACACGGGTTTGGTGAAAACCTCATGGCACCCCAAATACGGAAGGTCTAGTGCTAGACTGCTAGACATTACCAGGGTCTACGAGCAAATCCTGCCTTACTGTCAAACCTGCGTCAACATAAAATATACACGTCGAAAATACAAACCTGGAAGAGCAGCCTGTGAACAGTGAGTCGAGGTATGTTCTATTGGTATACAACTATACAATTGATATAACATCAATATAACAACAGCGAACCTGAAACAACCTAAATCCTGAAGACAGAACATAAGACATGAATCAAGCATATCATGAGTGTAAAAAACAGAACGCTACAGGACCTTGAAACATTCATTTACGTTGATGTTGAAGCAATCCTGCACAGGATGATTCGCCAAACAACCCACCACTTCAATGTGCATCCAATTGTAACCAAGTTATACAGTCAGTGCCAGACTTATAGAACGGAGCCAGGAGTACAAAAGTATGGTAAAATACCGTACCTCGTACTCCTCCGGATCCCGATTCCGCGCGGATTCGGACCCGTTCTATAATTAAAATTTCCCCGTTCTATAATTAAATTTCCCCGTTCTATAATTTCTGGCACCTCCATGATTTTTATTGCATATTTGTACATATACAATACATAATTACACATATACCGTAGATACCCTTCTTGGAAAACCCCACAATGTGTTTATTTTTCTCCACTCTCTTTTTCCCCACCTGCCAGGTGAGGGTTGTTAGATTTTATGTCAGTTGCCTCCTCCTCCTTCTCCTCCTCCTGCTCCTCCTCCTGCTCCTCCTCTCCTCCTCCTCCTCCTCTCCTCCTCCTCCTCGTCCTCCTCGTCGTCCTCGTCGTCCTCGTCGTCCTTGCTCAACTGCGACCCGCGATCCACAGTGTTCGCTGCCAGACCTCAACCACGACCATCCACGCCCAGTGTTCCCTGCCGGACCTCAACCACGACCATCCGCGCCCAGTGTTCCCTGCCGGACCTCAACCACGACCATCCGCGCCCAGTGTTCCCTGCCGGACCTCAACCGCGACCATCTGCGCCCAGTGTTCCCTGCCGGACCTCAACCGCGACCATCCGCGCCCACCACCTCCGCGCCCAGTGTTCCCTGCCGGACCTCAACCGCGACCATCCGCGCCCAGTGTTCCCGCCGGACCTCAGTAGGATGCCAGATAGAATGCCAGATAGAATGCCAGAAAGAATGCCAGAAAGAATGCCAGATAGAATGCCAGATAGAATGCCAGAAAGAATGCCAGAAAGAATGCCAGATAGAATGCCAGATAGAATGTCAGATAGGATGCCAGATAGAATGCCAGATAGAATGCCAGAAAGAATGCCAGAAAGACTGCCAGATAGAATGCCAGATAGACTGCCAGATAGAATGTCAGATAGAATGTCAGAATATATGTCAGATATAATGCCAGATAGAATGCCAACATATATGCCAGAATATATGTCAGATAGAATTAATGCCAAAATATATGTCAGATATAATGCCAGATAGAATGCCAGAATATATGCCAGAATATATGTCAGATAGAATGCCAGAATATATGTCAGAATAAATGACAGGTAGAATGCCAGAATATATGTCAGATGAAATGTCAGAAAATATGTCAGATAGAATGCCAGATAGACTGCCAGATAGAATGCCAGGTGGAATGTCAGGATATATGCCAGATAGAATGCCAGAATATATGCCAGAATATATGTCAGATAGGATGTCAGAATATACTAAATATATGTCCAAATATACGTCCTGACATGTCATGGTGGGGATCACACGAAGTAGAGTAATTTTCTTGTTTTTGTTTTTTTGGTGAATTTAGTAAGGAAAACCCATCGTAAATACATAAACTCCACTGATCTTGGCCCCGTTTTTGCCCATACATACATATTTGCCCATACATTACATATACATACATACATGCATGCATAAGTACACGGACATATGTACATACCTGCTGAGGAAAACAAAATTATAGAACAACAGGGTTAAGGTAAGTTTTTTTCATACCTTCTGAGGAAAACAGAAATATAGAACAACAGGGTTAAGGTAAGTTTTTTCATACCTTCTGAGGAAAACAGAATTATAGAACAACAGGGTTAAGGTAAGTTTTTTCATACCTTCTGAGGAAAACAGAATTATAGAACAACAGGGGTTAAGGTAAGTTTTTTTCATACCTTCTGAGGAAAACAGAATTATAGAACAACAGGGTTCAGGTAAGTTGTTTTCATACCTTCTGAGGAAAACAGAATTATAGAACAACAGGGTTAAGGCTAAGGTGAGTTTTTTTCATACCTTCTGAAGAAAACATAATTATAGAACAACAGGGTACGGTAAATCTCCGCACCTTCGTACTCCTGAACTTCCGTTCTTTATTTGTGGCACTGACCAGAAATATAGAACGGAAGTTGAGGAGTACGAAGGTACGGTTATTTACCGTACCCTGTTGTTCTATAATTCTGTTTTCCTCGGAAGGTATTTAAAAAAACGTATCTTAACTTACTCCTATTGTTTTTCGTTATTCTATAATTCTGGTTTGTTCTATAATTGAGTTTTCCCCCATTTTCCCACATTTACCAGTTACAGTTTGGTTCTATAATTAAGTATGTAATTTTTGCTCAGCCTGGGGACTGGTGTTGTGTTTTTAAACCCTCAATGGCCATTTCAGGGGCTCAAATTAGAGGTACCTACCACATAAAATCCCCATATGTAAGGTCTACTAAGGGAATTATTATTGCCATACATCCCTCGGATTCCCATTGAAACAGCCAGCAACACGCAGATTGTATGACTCTTGGAGGCTACTGACATATACTTGCGTCATTTTATGTATCTTTCTGGGACCCCGGAAGAGGTTATTTACATATATTTGCATCATTTTATGTATCTTTCTGGGACCCCGGAAGAGGTTATTTACATATATTTACATCATTTTATGTATCTTTCTGGGACCCCGGAAGAGGTTCTATAATTCTATAGGTAATTTTTTCCGTTCTATAATTATTTTTTCCGTTCGACGGAAAAATCAATAAAAGGGCCGAATAACCCCACATGTCAAGCCTTTATGTATCTAAGCTTAATGTGAACTTCGGGGAGGTGTGAGAAGTGAGGTGTGAGAAGTGGACTTGTGATGTCAGGTGCGAGAAGTGGAGCTGTGATGAGTTCTGATGTGATAAGTGAGGTGTGAGAAGTGGTGTGAGAAGTGGAGCTGTGATGAGTTGGGATGTGATAAGTTGTGATGAGTTGTGATGAGAAGTTGTGATGTGATAAGTGAGCTGTGAGAAGTGAGGTGTGAGAAGTGGAACTGTGATGAGTTGGGATGCGATAAGTTGTGATGAGTTGTGATGAGAAGTGGACCTGTCAGAAGTGAGCTGTGATGAGAGTTGTGATGAGCAGTGGAGCTGTGATGAGTGAGGTGTGAGAAGTGGAGCTGTGATGAGTTGGTATGTGATAAGTTGTGATGAGTTGTGAAAAGAAGTGGACCTGTCAGAAGTGGAGCTGTGATGAGTTGTGATGAGCAGTGGAGCTGTGATGAGTGAGGTGTGAGAAGTGGAGCTGTGATGAGTTGGTATGTGATAAGTTGTGATGAGTTGTGATGAGTTGTGATGAGAAGTTGTGATGTGATAAGTGGAGCTGTGATGAATGGTGATGATAAGTCTACGGCGGCGGAGGCGGGAACAGAAGCGGCGGGATTCAAGTGAAAAGCAAGAGCCCGACACATGATACATGCAGCACACGAGCTCTTTTTCAAGAACCAAAATAGCTGCCACACCAGCGAAGTACCATGAAGCACCGAAACCAAGAGAGGAAAAGAGAGAGAGAGAGAGCGAGGAAGGAGAAAGAGATAGAAAGGGATGAGTTTTGAGTGAGATGAGGCGACTGACTAAGAGGATGATGTGATATGATGTGATATGTCTGTCTGCTGACCACGCGCGCCTGCCAAGCAAAAGGCAGCCGCGGGCCGCCGCAGGGGGCTCTCTATACTGCGCCTGCCACGCAAAAAGGAACCGCGGGCCAGCGGCGGCCACGTGCGCCGCAGCTCCTCCAGGAAGCTCTGTGTACTGCGCCTGCCACGCAAAAGGCAGCCGCGGCCCAGAGGGCGAGAGGGGGGTCCAAACGAGGAGCTTTGGCGGGGTCCAAACGAGGCGTCGCCCCCCCAGCGGCGGCCACGCGCAGTGATTTGAAAAGCTTTGCGAACTCTTTTTGTTGCTGTTCAATTCTTTCGGCCCCAGTGTCAATCATTGCATTGATGTATCCCCAAGGACTACCACCAACGCAAGGCAAAGAAGCATAAAGCAAAACTTCACCCTGAGGATTATTCTCTCGAAATGACTGGACTTCTTGGGCTAGCCAGTTACGACAGCCTTGGGTGGTACCGCCCTCTTTCTCCGTTACTTGAATGAGCCTACACCCCTTGCCGGCTTCACGTAGCGTGCGCAACTTTGAGTCATGTGAACAACAAAATTCAATCAAAAGCCTTTGAAATGATGCTGGTTTTTCCCGAGAGCGCCTGCGAAGGGTTCTTCGTAAAAAAGCAGCCGTTATATACATCTTCACACCCTCACATTTGCTGATCTACATCTTCACACCTCCACACCTGCTGATCTACATCTTCACACCTTGACATCTGCTGATCTACATCTTCACACCTTCACATCTGCTGATCTACATCTTCACACCCTCACACCTGCTGATCTACATCTTCATACCCTCACATCTGCTCATCTACACCTTCACACCCTCACACCTGCTGATCTACATCTTCACACCTGCACATCTGCAGATCTACATCTTCACACCCTCACATCTGCAGATCTACATCTTCACACCTTCACATCTGCAGATCTACATCTTCACACATTCACATCTGCAGATCTACATCTTCACACCTTCACATCTGCAGATCTCCTCTCGCTCTTCTTTCTATCTCTCTCTTAAGGCGGGGGCGGTGCCGCCGGAGCGCCACGAAACGCAACCCTTTCGCACGAAATGGACGTTGGACGTCAAAAACTGAGGTAAAATTGCGATTTAACTTGGCCCATCGCAACCCTTTCACGCGAAATGGACGTTGGACGTCAAAAACAGATGTAAAATTGCGATTTTGAGGTGTCACGGGCAACCCTTTCGCACGAAATGGACGTTGGACGTCAAAAACTGAGGAAAAATTGCAACTTTACTTTGTCCATCGCGACCCTTTCGCACGAAATGGACGTTGGACGTCAAAAACTGAGGTAAAATTGCGATTTAACTTGGCCCATCGCAACCCTTTCACGCGAAATGGACGTTGGACGTCAAAAACAGATGTAAAATTGCGATTTTGAGGTGTCACGGGCAACCCTTTCGCACGAAATGGACGTTGGACGTCAAAAACTGAGGAAAAATTGCAACTTTACTTTGTCCATCGCGACCCTTTCGCACGAAATGGACGTTGAACGTCAAAAACTGAGGGAAAAATTGCGATTTCACGGGTCCGGTCTCTGTGTGTAAAAGTGTCTGTGTGTAAAAGCTTCTGTGTTTAAAAGCCTCTGTGTGTAAAAGCTTCTGTATGTAAAAGCCTCTGTGTGTAAAAGTGTCTGTGTGTAAAGTTGTCTGCGTGTAAAAGCCTCTGTGTGTAAAAGCTTTCGTGTGCAAAAGCATCTGCGTGTAAAAGCGTCTGTGTGTAAAAGTGTCTGTGTGTAAAAGTGTCTGTGTGTAAAAGCGTCTGTGTGCAGAAGCGTCTGTATGTAAAAGCCTCTGTGTGTAAAAGCCTCTGTGTGTAAAAGCTTCTGTGTGTAAAAGCTTCTGTGTTTAAAAGCTTCTGTGTGTAAAAGTGTCTGTGAGTAAAATGGTCTGCGTGTAAAAGTGGCTGTGTGTAAAAGCTTCTGTGTTTAAAAGCTTCTGTGTGTAAAAGTGACTGTGTGTAAAATGGTCTGTGTGTAAAAGTGTCTGTGTGTAAACGCGTTTGTGAGTAAAATGGTCTGTGTGTAAAGGTGTCTGTGTGTAAAAGCTTCTGTGTGTAAAAGCTTCTGTGTTTAAAAGCTTCTGCGTGTAAAAGTGTCTGTGTGTAGAATGGTCTGTGTGTAAAAGTGTCTGTGTGTAAAATGGTCTGTGTGTAAATGTGTCTGTGTGTAAAAGCGTCTGTGTGTAAAAGCGTCTGTGTGCAAAAGCGTCTGTGTGTAAAAGCTTCTGTGTGCAAAAGCATCTGCGTGTAAAAGTGTCTGTGTGTAAAAGCGTCTGTGTGCAAAAGCGTCTGTGTGTAAAAGTCTGCGATTGAGAGATGCAATGGTTGGATTGAAAATTGATTTCTGTTTTCTGTTGGGGTGGTATGTGACTGCGAGGATTGATTTGTCTTTAGTCGGATCATACAGTCCCGTGGGATTCAAGTATGGAGTTTGTGCAACCACGTTCTCTGGTCGGAGCCTCAAGTGGATACAGATATGCATTTAAAGCAATGCTGTCGACATCTTTCTTCTGTGGATATGGTCCTGCATGCATTTTTTGGAGATTGTGTTTTGTGATTGTTCCATGTTCTGTCTCTGTGGACATGGTGTTGCATTCATTCTTTGGAGATTGTGTTTTCTGATTGTTCCAATTCAAGCATGGAGTTTTACCGCACAAGTCTGTGCGAGCGGCATTCAACTGCATCTTCTACAAAAGAATCGTTTGGTCGGAGCCTCAAGTCCTTGAAAGCAATACTCGCGACATCTTTCTTCTGTGGATATGGTCTTGCATTGATTCTTTGGAGATTGTGTTTTGTGATTGTTCCATGCTCTGTAGGGGCTGTCCGTGGACATGGCACGGTTGCATTGAAAATTGAGTTCTGGTTTCTGTTGAGGTGGCATGTGACTGCAAGGATTGATTTGTGTTTAGCATGATAGTACAGAACTTTTGGACATCGGCTGAGGATGGATGATTGAATATGATTGATGGCACCCGCTCTAGCAATGTGTGGAGCTCGGTTGCTTTAGTTGAAGTGAGAGTGATGATGGCAGTCACGATGTACATTTTTGAAACTTTGTTTGTGTTGCATGGGGTGAGAGGGGATTGCAGTGGATTTGCTAGGTGTTGGGGCTTTTGTTCTTGGTGGTTCTTGGTGGACAACGTGGAAATGACAGAGATTGACGGTGAACATGCTTGCTAGTGAGCATTATCTGCATGCAAAATGTTTGGTTCAAGTGGCGCACCCGTGACACTTGTGAAAGCACTGTGGTCACTGTTTCATTTGCTGAAGGGATTGTCCGTGCGAATGGAGCAGGCGACCGCGTCGTCCAATGCCGTGGAAATTCGGTTGCAGGAGCTGCGTAGCAGTAGTGTGACCAGGGGCCGTGAATGGCTCCAGGGGGCCCTGGAAGAAATTTCCGCACTGGAGCTTCGCAAAATGGTGTGTAAAGGAGTCTGTGTGTAATGTTGGGAAATGCTGCCAGACCTCAACCGCGAGCTCCAGATCTCACTGGGCACTGCCGGACCTCAACCGCGAGATCCAGATCTCAGCCAGACGCCAAATGTCAGATAAAACGCCCGAAAGAATGTCAGAATAGATGCCAGAAGTATGTCAAAATAGATGCCAGACAGAATGTCAGAATGTCAAAGTATATGCCAAAAAGAATATCAGACAAAATGCCAAAATAAATATGCCATATATTGTTCCAGATGGTATGTCAGAAACTATGTCAGAATAGTGTTTCAGGATCACTCGAAGAAAGTACTTTAGCTTCAAACATGTTCAGTTGAGAAGATACGTCAGTTAAATTCGGAGAAGATCTGGAAAACGTGGCCAGGCAAGTCAAGAGAATCCAGAAATGCGGTCCAGCATTCTCCAGGCCTATTGGATCCGGCCAAACCCAGCATTTTCAGCGCTAAGAAAATCATTCAGGACAATTGCGCATCCAGGAAATCATTGTGGGAATAGCATAGGTTCACTTACTTTCTGCCCTGTTTCATGGAGCATGCAGGTCAAAGAAAGAATTGCTGACAATCAAGCACAACCCTCCCGTAATCTCTTGAACCACCAACGATCTTGGTTTCCACACGTGATTCTTGGCCTTCGCATTTCTCCAGGGAAGGATGTCTCAGTTGTCCTTCAAAAAACTTGTCGCGTGGCACTTGACAAAAGGGTTGCAGCACTGCAGCACTGACCTTTCTTTACACCAAATAAAAAATAATTCCCAAAAAAATGGGGTTCTGGCAAAAGACTCCAAACAGTGTTGAGGTAGAAATTCGAAGTCTGGTTCTGGGAAAGTGCTCAAAATCACTGACCAATTTCTTTAAAATATGCAATATTCAATAGATGCGCTTGCATTTTGCCGGCTCACATTGAGTTGTCCAAATGACCCTTTGGCTTTTTTCCCAGTCAACTTTCAACCTTTGACTCCAACAGATTACGCTTTGAATAGTCCTTTCGCCATCACGGCTGTGTTCAAATGCAACCTGGAAAAAGAATAGGCGCCTCATTTTGAGACATCCTTTTATGCACATGGCAAACTCATTGAATATTGTTCTTGACAGTTGTCATTTTTCAGTCTACATGGGAGCACGCTCTGGAATGCACCAAATCATGCACAAAGTGGCAAAATCAAAATATGATTTCTGTTTTGATGCTGGCAGTAGCTTCCACCAAGTACCAAACATGTCTACGTCTGAAAGTTCACCAGCTTTCTTTCTCGTTTTCGTATACAGGTGTGCGCGCTCTGGAGTGCACCCGATAAAAACTGCTCAACAGGAGACTACGTTTTAACCACGACTTAAACATTGATTTCCAACCACGGCAAGTTTTTTGAGTCTAATCATGACAAATATCCAAATCCAAACCACGACGGTTGGCTCTACAAATGCACAACTGTGTACGATTATGACTTATGATGTTTTTTTAACCATCTGGTTTGATTCTACTGTTTGCAAAGTCATAGGAGCCACCCTCTCTTAGTCAGTCCACCGAAAGTCCATAGTGATCAATCCAAAACATCGTGTATGCATATCAAATGGCATCATCCGCACATGCACGCTGAGATAATGCAGCAAACTCTTGACACTTTGCACCATTGATTCTCAGCTACAGTATGCACTCGAAGACGTGTCTTCGCCAGAACCGTTTAAACTAAAGCATAGCTCGTTCAGCTAGATCAGGAGCTTTGGAGTTTGAAGCCAACTCGTCTTCGCCTTTACCGCGTCACAGGTTTAAAAAAAAATGTTGATTGTTGATGGTTTTAAGGTGGCTTTCTCAACGATTTCAGTGACTTTCACAGCTCCTTCGGGGACCTTCTGACCATAAGCCCTTCCTTAGCGTTTCAAAGTTTTCGGGCACTTTCTCGTCATTTTCGGGGGCTTTTTTAGTCAGCATTTTCGACTTTTGAACGTTTTCAAAGACTTTGTCAACGTTTTCGGGGACTTTCTCTGGGTTTTCTTGGGTTTGTTCAGCAACTGCGGCGACTTTCTCAAAGTTTTCACGCGTTTTCTCCGCGTTTTCGATTTTTCAGCGTTTTCGGAAATTTTCTCCGCGTTTTCGGGTGCAATCTCAACGTTCAGTCAAGACTGCGTTACGTAATTAGAAAACTATATACGGTTAGCACTGTTAATGATTCAAGTACGCTATTAGTGAAAAAACTTGTTGTGCAGGGAACCTTGTGCCGAGTAAAGCCGAGTATGCAAAATAGGTTTGTGAAGGAGTTGTGTGTGTGTGTGTGTGTGACCATGTTGTGTGTGTGTGTGTGAAAAGGGTTGCGCGTGTGTGTGTGTGTGTGCCTGAACCCTTCTTACACAGGGCGTGGTATGAATATGCAGGGGGAGGACATATGAGGCTCCATCCAACGAAGCTCCTCATATGATCCTAGGATATCACCAGGGACGCTTGGTGACGTACCTGCGCCATTTTTTCCTGCATTCGGGTAGTTGAACTGTTGACTACCGATGTACTTTGATTTCAAGTCTACATTTCAGTCGATGAACTGTTGATTTCACATCTTTATGATGGCTGTTGTTACCAACATTGTAACTCACAGGGGCTCTCCATCCCAACTATTTGGATTTCACCTCGACCTCAACCGTTTGGATTTACCTTCGGCCTCTACCATGTGGATTTATTTTCAGATTCCAGGGACGTTTCGGCCACAGCATTTTGGATTCAACCTCAGGGCTCACAACCAGACCCGTGTGTGTGTGTGTGTCTGACAAGGTTGTGTCTGAAGGAGTTGTGTGTGACAAGGTTGTGTGTGGAGAATGGGCGGCGGAGGCGGGTGAAGGAGGAGAAGTAGCGGACGGGAGTGCACAACAGAAACAAGAACCACACACAAAGATGGAGGGACAACATATATATATACAGTAATAGTGATATCTACTACACCATCCGTGATATAGTATAATATATGTTCCTTGTTTTTGCAATAGTGTTGCTCCACTGCCGTGATATGCATTTCCATGTCGTGGTGTGGCCCAACGCTTAAAAAAACAAAAAAATAAAACTAACACAATTCTATTTGACTGCTGGTGGCTAGTAGATGTCCACTACAATAATATGCCTCTGAGAGTTCACAGGATTTGGACCTTAACATGTGGCCTTCGGGAGTGCATGAAGGTGCGGTGCCTGCGCTGAATGTGCTGAATAAACACTCCGAGTTGATTGTGTTCCCAGTACCCACGCAGCGCGCAAACATATAGCAACTGAACATTTTCAGTGCCTGATTCAAACTGAAGGAGGAGCCCTCAGGTCCTGCTCCCTCGGTTCGCATTTTCTGCATTTTCTGCATTCGACCTAAGCCCAGGCCGCTTGAAAATGATGGTCATTCGTTCCATTGCCCAGCTGCAAGCACAATCCGCCAGGTGTATTTTCAGGCTTCAGCAAGGGTTACAAAGGTAATCCCAAATAGACTGATAAAAGCCAAAATAAAATCCGTTAAGCAACGCAGCTCTAGCTACCTTTTGCTACAGCTGCATGTCAGCCCTATACATGGTGTTTTCCCTGGGGTGCAATTGCACCCCCCCAGGTGAGCCGGAACGGCAAGACTGCCCATTTACCAGGGCGAGACCATTACGGTCTGCCTTGCCGACATGGCCCAAATTGCATCCTGAGGTAAACACCCGCGGCTTTATACAAAAACAATCGTCGATGCAAGGTGTGCTGAACTTATCCCTCTTCCCATTCGACACGTCCATGCCTGCACCTTTTGGTACCAACGACCGTGCCACTTCTGCCACTCACCAGTGTAACGTCGATCTTGACGGGAAGACTGAGGGCGGTCGAGCCACACACACACACCTGCAGACGTAGATGATGAAGCTGCTTCAACCTTCGGTGATGTTCGGGCAACTGGGTTAGCAGTGCCTTTCTTTGCAGGACCCTGGCCATACGCAGAAGTCTGTTTGGCCTTTCGCTTGGCCTCGCTCTTCTCTTTTGCACGATCTGACTGCTGCTTCTTTTCAAGCGCATTGGCTTTGTATGATTCCAGGTTGGTGTCCTTGATGTACCGAAGATGCCGCTGAGCGTCATGGACTGCCACCTGATCGATCCCTGTGTTTGACATCAGCAGGTTGTAGTGAGGATTTCTGTTGAGATAGTCGATGTATTCCTCCTCAAAATAGATTTCTGTTCTATACATTTACAACCAGGGCTGATCAATGTATCGGAATCTGTCAGCGAGGTCAAGCCGGCTGCCAAGGTCCAGGTAAACAAGCCGCATTGCATTGTGTTCGACTTGCGAAGCCTCTGAGACACCCATCTTCACCTGAGCTCTCGTGCGGTCGGGCTTCGGGAGCAGAACGAAAGAGGTCGTAACGCTCACAATCGTATTCATTCTCTCCCTCAGCCAGCAAGCTTTCCGCAAATTTGGCATCTTTTGTAAACCTGTCCAGAACCGAAGTGAAGCCCATTCCATTCGCTCTTTCCACACGGCCTTTTGCCCGCTTGATGAGGTCGGCCTCGGGCTTGAACTTCCCCGAGCCTGATCTCCCAACAAACCAAGGGTCTCAAGCTGATTCCTGGTGATGGTCTGGAAGTACTCCCCTTTGAAGTCGTAGAAGAGTCCAAGCTTGTGCAAGGCTGCCTTGCGGCGCTCTGCAATGGCAGTCCTTTCAGCTTTGGGGATTCCCTCCAACATCAGGAGTTGCCCTTTGAAGGTCTTGGCACAGCATCTTTTGCATTCACTGGCCTCGATCTTCACTGGCTCCGGCTTCTGCACCTGGTCATCGCTTTTAGGGCGAGACTTCGTCACCAAAGATTTTGACTTTGCTGTCGACTTGGGCAAGGATGCGCTCGAAGGTGGACTTGCAGGCCCCGCCTGATCTGCTTTGGCAGGAGGCGCTTTTGAGGCCGGCTCCAAGAACACTGCTGCTGAGGAGGCAACTGGCACTGGTTTGGGCTCGCTTGTTATGGCGGCCTTCTTTTGGGCTGGTTGCTCTTCTGCAGATAGTTCGACAGGCTTTGCAATTGCTTTGGGGACGTCAGGTGCTGGCGGCTTCGGAGCTTCGCCCTTTGGGGGCGGCGGCAAAATTCGACTGCTTGCATATCCAGGCCACTTCACATCAAAGCCGGTGGCGGGGGTTTGACTTTTCCCGGAAACTTCTGCTCAGCGGGAATGCCAGTTAAGGCAGCCGAAGAGCTCGGTTCAGATCGGTCGGCCAGAAGATTCTGCTTCGTGTGCCTCAACCTGTTCCTGAACTCCGGCTTGTGCACCACTTGCAACCGCTGATTGAACAGTCTCCCTGTGCCTTCTGTACAGATTCACCTTTTTCTCGGTGTCGTCAACAGATACCACGAATTGTGCTGGCACAACATCTGTCGTCAAAATCCCCTCCGATGCCGTTTTGATGAAAACTACACCACTGCGAACAGCTTCTTGCATTGCGACCCTGGTTTCGACTGGGCGCTCTGCTCTGAGTCCGGACAATTCCGGACACGTAATTGCCTTCTTCGACACGAGCCTCGCTAAAATAGCTATAAGCTCGGCCGGAAGATACTCGTTTCCCACTCCAGGAATGAAACCGTTGTCCAAGATGCCCTTCCAGTTTCCACGTGTTGTTCGATGGTAAACTACACCAGGGGTATCTTCAGGGGTGACAATGGTTTTCCCTGTGGCCGCTACCTTTGCCAACGCTGCTGCACCAGAATTTGCATAGATCAGTGTGGCATTGAAGGTGTCTGAGGCTGCGGCTGTCGAAATGGCACGTTTTGTGTGCCCTTGCACTGCACGGATCCTGAAAGGCCAATAGGCTAACGGGTTGCCATCTGATGTCCAGCAACGCATTGAAACTCAAACCTGCACTTGTTGTCACGATACAACATGGCAATGAGCTCTTCGACAGTGGGGGTCTTCTTGGGGGGAGGATGCGAGCGATTGTACAGCCGGAAGAAATCGTCCAAGTCCATCCACATCTCGTCATTGAAACAAGACGTGTCCTGTCCAGGCTGTCCCCTTGTCACTGCATTCACCTTGGTGCGGTGATCATACAGAATCGCAAACTTTCTGCACCGCCCATTTTCCAACAAGTCTTTGTGATCAATTCGAAGGGACGTCCATCAACAGTAACATGTTCCACCACCTTGCCATTGATATCTACGTCAAGCATGTACCTGTACTTCTCCACATGACTGCGGCAGTTCTTTGGGCACACTGTTCCTGGAAGATCATTTTCAGCAAGGGGCTCGCCTTCTACGGCGGCCTGCGGTGGGGTCGGTTCCTGTTGGGCTGGGGCAGGTGCAGCTGGCGGCGGAGTTGGGTGATTTGCCTTTGCTCTCCCAAATGAAGGCCCCTCATACTCATTCTCGTCGAGGGCTGCCCATGGATCCTCATCATCATCGACTTGGCCGAGGTCCATGGGCCTGTCCCTCAACTCTTCAGCTGTGAGGGATTCCGGAAGACTCATCGAAGGTGTCGGTTTGTTGACCTTTTCATTCGAGAGGGTGAGCAGCTCGACAAAGGCAACTGGCAGAGCTTCCAATTTTGGTGGTCGATCCCTCATCGTGGCCACGCCCTCAGGGCGTCTTCGCTTCATCTGGGCTTGGTTGTATTGGCCACTCACAATGTAACTGATGTGAAGCATATGCATGACAGACATGAAATACCCCAGCATCTCAGAGCGATTCTCTTCAGTTTCAAAGGCATGGAAATAGTCACGAAGTTCCAAGCGGGCAGGCAATTTGTCGTTTGCAATCCTCCATCTCAACCTGTCATTTTGTGGGAGGACTTCTTGAACAGGTCCATGAAAGTAGTGAACATCATGCTGAGGCTGTACACAAGATGGCCGGGCTCGCTAACTAAAGCGGCTTGGTCAACCCCAAGTTCCAGCAACTGCTTGTTCCACCACTCGACATTGCCCTTCACCCTTGTCATGATTTCTTCCCAGTCGCCCTTCGGATCCTTATGGTCCCAAATCGGGAGTGGTTCAACACCATACTCCCCGCAGATTTCGTTGCCGGACCAAACTATCAGAGAAATCACTCGAATCTGAGACCCTTAGTTGGAGAACTTGTGGAGCAACTCCTTGATCATGCTGATGTTCGCCTTGCACAAGGCCTGGAGGTCTTTCCCCCAAAGCATGTCGCGCCCAATCTCCAGAATCATATCTGCCTTGCGAGCAGCGAAATCATCCTTCAGGGTGTACTTCTTCAAAGTCTTACCCTTACCGGTGATTAAGGCCAGTGCCGAGTCCGCGGTGATGACATAGATCGTGGGCACGACGTCTACCTCCGGCATTGAGGTTCCAGGCACATACTCCGTAGGCAGTGGCAAATCCCAAAGTGCTTCCTGCTCCAGTTCAGACAGCAGCATCAGCTCTTTGGCCCATGGAACCCCCGACAAGGCGTCTGTCGTGAGCGGTGAACATGTTCCCAGTCATCCTTTCTGCAACATGTTCCCAGTAGAGCAGATAGTCGCAGCAGCAAGGATGGTTTGAAAGAAATCCTCCCATCCTGCGTGCTTATCCTCCTGGACATCAAGGCACTTCCGAAAAGCAAGCCATTCCGTCATGTTGCTTTGCTGGGGCACGCTTCTCTAAACCGGCCGACTTGAGAACTCGCGCATAGATTTTGTCAGAAATCGACTTTGACTTGTCCGATGATGAGCGGCTCATGGCGGGGACAGCTATAGACTCTAGACTCTTCCTTTCTTGGGCGGTTTGTGCCGGGCTGGCTCTGGATCGAAAGCAACAATGGATGAAATCAGTCAAAGAAAATGTGTAGTTCTCTGCAAGTTTAAGTGCAGTCCCCCGGCTTTGACCATGGGTATGTGAACCATCACAAGTGTATTTCAAAAGACTCGATAATTCTTCCATGTTCGTAGCGATCATCCGACCCTTAACTCAGTGACCCCAAACTGGCAACCGTGGAATGGGTATTGCTTCAAGTTGTGTTTCTTGAGAAATGATTGAACCATGGGCCACTTCCAATACGTGCAATTCTTTGAGAGTTCGAACGCAATTGAAAAGCGTGGTCCATCGATCTATTGAATATAAGTTTTCGAAGTGATTTGAAAAGCTTGCGAACTCTTTTTGTTGCTGTTCAATTCTTTCGGCCCCAGTGTCAATCATTGCATTGATGTATCCCCAAGGACTACCACCAACGCAAGACAAAGAAGCATAAAGCAAAACTTCACCCTGAGGATTATTCTCTCGAAATGACTGGACTTCTTGGGCTAGCCAGTTACGACAGCCTTGGGTGGTACCGTCCTCTTTCTCCGTTACTTGAATGAGCCTACACCCCTTGCCGGCTTCACGTAGCGTGCGCAAATTTGAGTCATGTGAACAACAAAATTCAATCAA